CTGCCGCGAAGAAGTCGAGTATTTACGTACCGGATACGGCTACTACGTGGTATGAGTGCCAGCGTGAGCAGAACATGGGCGGGAATTTAAGTGAGAAGTGCAAAATGTTTGGCATCTCGTCGCGTGAGTCGTACCAACCGCATCAGCATTTGCAGTTGGCACGACCCATACGAGATGGTGAACAGCGACTCATGGATCCGAAAAGCTTTAAGCACATCTCCCCAGAGTTTCTCAGTTTGTTGGAGGAGCACGAACAGGCCATGTTGGCTAGAAATCCATTGTATGGCGTAGATACAAAGAGTGAGCGGGCACCCTTTTGCGACGTACCTCGCGAAAGGCTTCAGAAACGCCATAAGAGTTATTCGACAACTACGTCAACAACTGATAAACGTACAAGTAGGCCACAACGGCAAAGCAGAGCAAAGTCAAGATCACGGCAGGATGAACGGCGTGGACTCATACAGACCATAAGCGACACATGCTTCTCGGACTCACCAAAATCCACAAAAAATAGGAATTCAAGTTTAAGGCAAAGTAAATACAATGAACGTATGGCTGGCGGGGAGGATGGAGAGTTTAGCAAAAAAAAAACTTCAACGAAACGTCACGCATAAAAATACGCTCAAATATCAAAGCCGATGTGTGTAGTGGAGGTATATTTCAACCGAAGGAAAACTATGAATTGGCTGCGCTGAGTTCGGGTTATGGACCCAAATCGGGAGTATCACTTTGCGGAAATATGTTGAAAGCGGAATGCCGCAGTGCCACAGCGGGGCTCACGAAGAAAGTGCAAAGGAAAGAGAGTGTTATAAGCAAACGAAAGAGTAGAGAGGAAAGAGCAGCTAGAACGCATAAGAGATGCGAGGATAAAGAAAATAATAAGGAAAGGTCGGAAATCAAGGACAACAATCGGCATACGCATTTCCAGGTTCGGAAAGATCTTTTCGTCCAAATCACCTTGGACGAACAACATGAGGGCAAACGAACAAAAGAAAGCAATAAATTGCAACTAATTTGGCGTAAGAGGGATATAACACGCATGCGAGACTCTGAAATAAGCCTGCAAATGGCAAACATGCGTAGATACGCGGAAGCGGAATCGCGCGGTATAGTACATGGGAAAACAAAATTAGTTTGTGAAGAACCGGAAAGGCTTAAAGACATCGATAGACGACGAGAACGCACGCAACTGACACATTTACGCGCCAAAGCACGCAGAGATATTTCGCAGAACGATGTAGTGGAGGAGAAGGTTGCGATAGATTTTTCCTCTGAGGTGGATGATCTCGCACAAATTTCTACTGAGATGAAAAAACTGAAAATAAGTGAGTGGTCATTAAAGACATCCCTATGCGTGGGAAGCAAACTCTCACACGAAGCGGCAAACGAAATATACCAACAGAAACTTTCTTACATGGAAGCTGAACTGGATAATTGTCAAGCAGAAGACGAGCCACCAGTTGTGGTCCATGTTAAGAAATTGAAATCTAGGAAATATAAAAAGGAAGGCTTTGCTGCCTCAATTGAACCACGTGATTCGTTGGAGCATATAGGTTTGGTAAAGAAACGTAAAAACACACTACAAAGATTCCATGCGCAACGGAAAAAGTTGGAGCGCGTGCGTGAAAATGAAGTCGACGCGAAAGAAAAAGAGACAAAACAGAGAAATTATTCCAAAAAAATGCATATATCGCTTTCCAAATTATGTGACGTGAACAGAGTTTGCGACAAACCCAGCGTCCACTCATATTCGAGCGCAAGGTCCATACAACCGTCTACCAATCTACCAATTAAATCCAAAACGAAAGCGAAGCTCAACGCAAGGGTCAAAGTGCCGAGAAGTACATGTAAGCACTATAGAAATAAAAATTTGCCGCCACGACGGCGTAAACCATGGAGAAAACACCGTGCGAATTCAAGTCTTTGTCACTCGGAACTTTACAAACTATCTGCGCAAAATTCTCTAGAGCTCTTAAGACAGCGTCAGAAAAGTAATAAACGTCTGCTGGTCCAAACTGCAACAAACTCTTGCGTGAAATTTAACGAATCGTTGAGCACAACTTCCCTAAATCACATGGCTGATGATGTTCCCTCAACAAGTATGGCTGCTGCCAAATCATCCTCGTATTCCTCATCGGAAAACGAAACACGCTGTGAGCCGAGCACTTCGTCACTGGAAGATATGTTGGTACACATCAAAACTCAACTCAAGCAGCGTCATAACAAAAAACATGGTACTTCCGACAAAACCACCAACAGTTGCCCGCAGAAAATACGACTACAGCAACAAAATACAAAAGATGCGGGGAAATCAAGTAAAGCAAAAGGCCGTTCAGCGTCTAGAAAAAAGATTAACAAGCCACGAAAGCGCCAAAAGCACAGACCGCTGGCAGATTCTATACGGATACCGCTCGTGAGGAACAACGCATTCATACTCGAACCACAAAATCACAGCTTTGAAATCGCATACGCAACCGGCTCGAATTCTCTAAACATAAAGTCTATGGAAAACCTAACGCCGCCAGCGACACTACCGAACTCTCGAAGAAGACGCAAACTGAAGAAAAAATCGTCAAATGGTGTGCAGGAGTCAGAAGCTTAAGTCGCTTGGAAAAAATGTTCGGCTTTCTTTGACCCCGGAATTGTACTCATAACATATGAGCGTAGCTTGTGGAAGTGTGTCTTGTTTTTATATTATAACTGCACCCATAGAAGCAATGTGTCTTGTGGTGATATGCAATTTACAGATTACTTTGGCTCATTTAAAAATGTCCGCTTATGTATTCCAAATGTCCCAATAAATATTCACTGTAAACGAAGCTTTAGAATATTTAACTGCGACCGGAAGATTAATTTTAGGTTTTAGGGTCTTTTAAGGACGCGTGTTTTCTTTATTTACACTGAGGTTTTGATTAGCTCCAAAGTCTGCAAAGGCATGACAATTTAGTAATCGTCTAATCTTGTGAGCAAGAACCGGCAGAACTTTAGACGCGCTTGTCTAGAACTTTAGAAGGCCATATACACGGTTGCATAGCTATCTCCACACAGAGCTGGGCACACAGAGCTGGGTTCTCTCGTTATCGAACATTTAGAATTCATTAAGAAAGCGTGGAGTCGCAAGGAACACAGCCCTATAATTTTAGAACTTTTAGAACTCACTGAACACATACTCTTTGCGCCAAATGTGGGCGTTTATGAAACGATCTATTCAATATTGTAAATTGTCAAAATTACAAAAAAGTGAATACTTTTTATTAAATGACATTTTTTTATATTTTTTGATTGTTTCTTGCAAAAAAAAGAGTAAATGATATTAGTAGAAAAATTCAAGTTTAAACAATAGACCGTAATAACCACTTCCAGCATGGAAGATGCTATAAATTCGGAAGTCCACCAGAAACCTAGTGGTGAAACATCAGAAAGCTCAAAAAAGTGGAATACCCCAACCGGTCTACCCCACACCACACAGACTGCGCAACCAGCAAATAAATCGCCAAACAAGCCAAATCAGGGTTGGAAGGCAACAAAAGGAAAGAATGTGCGCCAAAATGAAACAAGACGGAAGGAACTACCACATTTCGTACGCACAGAGATGGAGATCTTGAAGCACTTAAGAAGAGTTAACCGCGATTTAAGAATACTATTACAACCGAAATATAACTGTGTCTCAACGCCACGAATTAACAAAGGCTATCAACCAGTGAGACAATGTACAGAGCCACCTGTAATCAAGGCTGGGAAGAGCAAGGTCGGCGCTGGGGTAAGGAAAAATCAAAACGTATTAGCAAAAGCAATCAATGTGAAGCCAAAGAGACCGCTGCAACAGCTTAAACCAACAGCAGGTACCAACAGGGTCGCGCCGCTGCCAACAAACCCGAGTTGTACGCGCAAACCACAGAGTGGCGTCCAAGCGCTACCGCAAAAATTCAGCACGGCAACCCGGCGCAGCACACTACAACGCCTCATGCTTTATTTTAAACCGAAACGAAAACCCGATTCTTCTCGGTGTGCGCCAAAGCCAGTGATAAAGGATAATAATAAGAACGATGCGCACGAAACTATTAAATGTAAGAGGGAGAACACGCTATGCCGCAAACTCAAGCGTGGTCTGCAAGCAACGCGTATTGCCAAAGAAAAAGTGAAAGCACAACACGCTACTAAACTAGCGGAGCAGCCGGTGAAGGATAACGAAACTTTGAAGCATAAGCTCAGTGAGGAGAAGGTGTTAAAGCCGAGAATGATGGGAAGAGCAAGAATATTAAAACAAAAGGTGGCAAATGGAAAATCATTAAAACAGAACATAAAAGATGAAGAGACACCAAAACCCATAGCGAAAGAGAAGCAGCCTGCAAGCCCGTGCGTGAAAAACGAACGAACAATTGGAGAAAAGATGTTGGCCTTCAGATTGAATTGCTTAAGATCTGAAGCGAAGTCATTGCAAAATGAAGGTGAAAGTAAAAGTGCGCTAATCGTTAACAAAAAGCAACTTTTTTCAAGAACCCCTGAGGTGCTCGCGTCTAATGCAGAGTGTGCGCTGCAAGAGCAGAAAACAGTACACGAAATCGAAAGCACAATATCGCACGGGAGGTTCGGAAATTGTTTGCCGTTTTTGAAAGCTCGTAAAAAGGCGCCAGTGCGAGTGACGACATTGGAAGAAAAAGCGTCAAGTGAAGCAGAGATGCAAAAGGTGTACAAGAAGCGGAAATTTAGATGTAGCACAGCAAATATTGACCACTTACCGAGCAGTAGTCATACAAATATGAAATACGTGGAAGCCATCAATGCTATAAGGCGACACAATCGGAACATTTATAAAGATCCGCATGAAACGCCAAGCACATCGTCGCTAGAGGAGTATTTTCACGTGCTCTCAGAACGCATGGCGCGCGAGCAAAAGGAAGCAGATGAGCGTAAGCCAAGGCGCAGAGGTCGCCGTGGCATGAGTAATTATAATTTGCCGCGCAGAAGAGTGCGACCACCAATCAAATGAAAATGCCACGGCTGTGAGCTTTGATATGATGGTAAAGTGGATTTATGGAAACGCTTGAGGCTCGGAAGGACGCTTGAGGCTCAAGAGGATAGTTTAGCAAGTAAAAAAATATATTTCATTTCCACACAATACGGTAGCGTTTCAATTATGATGGATTGTCATCACCGACAAGTGTCTTGTCTCAGTTCTATTTTTTTTTTCACATTAAAATTTATTTTTAATAAAATTTTTGTGCTAATATGTTAACAAAAAAGATTTTCTAAAGTTTCAACAAAACTCCGACACAATCCAAACCAAAATTAGCATGTAAAGACAAAAATATTCGTGAAAATAGAGCACTGGTTCGCGGAGAGCTTGCTTGGTCGCTTGTAATACAAAATGCCCTCAACCGCTACGCATTGTCTTGCCAAGCGCAAGCAGGATCAAAGGCGCGCTGAAGAGCACAGCCCATCTAGGCAGAAGGAGGTACGCGAGCTTTGGTTCAACCCGCTTGCGACGGAGATTTGCGAGTCGCGCATGAACATATGCTTGTGTGACTGCGATTGTCACATTTGGCAGGACGAAAATGTGCAACGAGAGCTTCGAAAATTAGCAAATGTTTACTCACATAAGAACCCGCCGGGTATGAAAGATGAAGAGGAAACGGAACCGACAACTAAAAGGAAGGGAAAGGTTAGATCGGTTGATGAAGAGGAGGAGGAACCAACCAAAGGATTTTTGTGCTTTAAAAAATCATCCGCAAAACGTTCACACAGCAAGCAAAGAGAAGAAAAGGGGCAAAGAAAAAGGCAAAAGTCAAACGAGGAAGACAATACGAAAAAAGTGCAGGAAAAAAGTATAAGTCGCAGTCGTAATCGACCGTTTCCCGTGAATAGACGATTTAAAACGCGTGAGGAAGCTAAACGCTATCGTGAACTTAAAGCCATTTATACCACAAAACCAAGAAATCCACAGCATTCAGATAAGCAAAATGATACTGAAACAAAGTCTAACCCACAGAAAACGATTGAAGTCAAAGGACGCAGTCCAAAAAAGCATGCCACAAGCTCAAGTGCTGATTCAGTAAACACGGCCGCGCAAAGACAGCACAGATCACGTAAGAGTAAGACGGAACCAAGAACGAGACCGCAAGGGAGCAATGACAGCGGCTATCCACGCGATCGACCTTATGCTCCCATGTATGCAGACGAAAGAGAGCATGTGGAGTTAAAAGATAACGACCACAAAGACTCTGATATTGGCTGTTGCGGAATGCGTAAAAAATCGAAAGGTAATAAGCAGCAACGGGAATATGAAGCTTACACACCTGCACATTGCTCTGACAAACAAACTCCAATGCCAAACCTGGAGGCGGAATGTGCGCCCACAATAGGAGAAATGGAGCTGCTGGAAATCCTTAGAGCCACTTACACACGTGAAGTGAAAGCTGAGCAGGAGCAAAAATCGACCCCCAAAACGCGAACAGCTACTACAACAGAGGAAGAAACAGGCTGTTGTGGCTCGAACTCTAAAAAGAAACAGCGGCAGGCAGAGACTGATTTATGTGATCAATGTTACTCTTGTGAGTGCAGTTGTGGGGATAATTATCCTAAAGAAATCGAGCAACACCAGGCAACGGAATGGTTTACCCAAACCAATGACTCCAAGAGTAAGCAATTCGATAAGGCAGCCAAACCATTCTGTTCCTGCGATGCTTCGCCCGATTCTAAGAATGGAAATAAGGAACATATTTTTAAATATCCCACCCGGGAGATGATCTCTTTACAAGTGGATGAAGAGCATGCACCCGGAAAAACAAAATCCGTAGGCATACGTGCAAGAGATAGAAACGAAATTGATACGAGCAAATCGGTTTATTCTAAGCGAAAATCGAAAAGCATTAAGGGCGCGAAAAGTAAGAACTCGCCAAATGATGTTGATTCGGAGAAAACGTCTTGCTGCTCTTTCTTATGTCGCAAGAAGCAAAAGACTAAAGGCGATAAACCAGATACAAAAACCAAGTCAGTTAAAAAACGAAAGAAGCCTCCCACAGCCGTAAGTTTTTCCCCGGCGAAACCGGAAAAGCGTAAGCAACAAGCCACAAAACCTATCGACAAAGAAAAAGGTAGGAATGTGAATGTAAATCGGCGAAAACAACCAGCTTTTCATCCCAAATCTGAAAGTAAAAACAAACCACCGTTATCTTCTACGAAATATGAACCACAACCAACCACTGATGGCAGAAAGGCAAGACGTCGTAATCAGCCAGCTTTTCATCCTAAACCGGAATTGAAAACACAGCCAAAAGTACAAATTTCATCTTCTTCCGTGAACCGGAAACCACCGCCTGGTGATAAGAGAAAAGCTACAGCGAGAGGTAAAATTCATCCTCTAACAAAATCGAAGAAAGCAAAACCTATATCCAAACAACTAGAACGAAGCTCGTTAAAAAAAGATACTGCCTCTGAAACGTCTTGCTGTCCTTGTTTAAGAGCCAAAAATAATTTCGAACATAGCAACATTAAGGAAAAAGGTAAGAATGTTGGAATTATTCTACAATAAATAATAAAGATCTTGTTGCAGGCCATAAAAAAGACAAGCCCGAAGCAAATGCTGGCAGTAAAAGTAAACCAGCTAAAGTCAAAAGTGGCGAAAAAGTTCAGAAAGAAAAGCCAATTAAACGACAACGGAAACCTTCACTTACACAAAGTCACGAAAAAGTTCAAAGGATGAAGCCAAAACAGGCAGGTGATTCAAAACAACATGCTTCGAAAGTCGAAAGTCGGGAAAAACTGAAAAAGAAACAATCAGGCACGTCATGCTGGTCTTGTTTTAGAAAGGATACAACAAAAAAACCAGATACATCTAAAAAGGAGCCTCCCAAGAATAAAAGTGCGGAGAAACTGTACAGAGACAGAGCGAAGGATGACTCCAAGCAGAAGCTATTAAAGCATCAAAGTCAAGAAGATTTTAAAAAAGAAAAATCAAAGAAACATCTTGATTCTAAACAAAAAGCTTCCAATTCCAACAGTAAGGAAACTCTTCAAAAGAAAACATCCGAATCATCTTGTTGGTCCTGTCGTTCAGGCGATAAGAAAGAAAAAGCAAAACACGTAGATCAATCTAAAAGGCGACCTACAAAATCCAAGAGTGGGCAAAAACTTCAAAAGGGTCATTCAAAAAAATCTACCTCTTCTAAACAGAAACATACAAAAGCTAGCAAAAGTCAGGAGAAAATTGAAAGAAAATCATCACAGGCATCTTGTTGGTCTTGTCGTTCTAGTGACACAAATGGCAAAACTAAAGAATCGGATCTACATAAAAAAAGAACTGCAAGGAGCAAAAGTCAGGACAACAAACAATTTGCCAGAGATCCTGCAAGAGTACATAAGGGTAGACGAAAGAAAACTGGAGATTTCAAAGAAAAACCCTTCAAAGCTAAAAGTCAAGAAAAAGTTCAAAACCAGTCATCCGAGACGTCGTGTTGGTCTTGTTGTTCAAATAAAGAAAAAGATAAGAAGCAACCCTTAAGAACCAAGAGCCAAGACAAAACTCTAAAAGATAGGTCTATGTCAAAAAGTAAAAGTGAAGACAAAATTCAAAGAGGAAAGACAAAGAGGCCCCTGGATTCTAAGCATAACCCGTCAAAAGCGAGAAGCCAAGAAAAGGTTCGACAGCAGTCTTCGAATACCTCTTGTTGGTCTTGTCGTTCCAGTGGTGAGAAGGACAAAGAAAAGAAACCGAACGAATCTAAAAAGAAACCATCAAAAAGTAAAAGTCAGGAGAAAATTATAAAAAATAAACCAAAACCGTCGGCTGATGCTAAACTTAAACCTTCTCGAGAAAATCTTCAAAAACAGCCTTCGGAAACTTCTTGTTGGTCTTGTCGTTCCAATGCTGAGAAAGATAAAACAACGAAGCAGGACAAATCAAAAAAGAAACTATCAAAAAGTAGAGTTCAGGACAAAGTTCAAAGGGATAAGTCAAAGGTGCTAGCTGATTCTAAACAAAAGCCTTCGAAAGCTCGAATTCAAGAAAAAGTTCAAAAGCAGCCTTCGAAAACATCTTGTTGGTCTTGTCGCTCTAGTGGAGAAAAAGAGAAAACAAAGAAATTGGACGAATCTAAAACGAAAGCAACAAAAAGTAGAAGTCGGGACAAAATTAAAAATAGTAGATCAAAAGAGTTGGCAGATTCCAAAGCTACTAGCCAGGATAAGGTTCCAAACTATAGACTAAGGAAGTTGATTAAACCCAACGAAAGTCCCACAAAGGCAAAAAGTCAAGAAAAAGTGCAAGCTCAAAAATCAGAAATATCATGTGGCTCTTCTCGTTCAAAAAGTGAAAAGGATAAGTCCACAAAATTACAGGGACCAAAGAAGCCTACAAATAGCAAAACTCACCTTTCAAAAGCAAAAAGTCAAGAGCAAGTTCAAAAGAAACAATCGGGTACTTCCTGTTGTTCGTGTTGCTCAAAAGGAACAAGTGATAGGGATTCGAAAACGAAACCATTGAAAGCTAAACAAAAAGAAGTTGTTCAAGATAAGTCAGTCAGAAAATACAATTTGTTTTCACGAAGAAGTAAAAAAGAGAAATCGAAGGATAAGGCTGCTCCCGAAAGTCCTTTCCGGGAAGATCAAGCAAAACTGAAAAAACGATATAAAAAAGCAGAAAAAACTAAACCGTCTGAGTCTTCGTTCTGTTCCTGCTGCTCCAGCAGTCATAAACCATTAAAGGACAAAGACAGGAAATCAAAAGAAGATAAGTGTTCTGTTAAAACTAAGCCAGAAGACATTTCCTACTGCAAGGCGCTCTATCAAGAATTAGAAAACATAATCATGCAACAAAACCAATGTCAAATAATGATTTCACAAACTAGAATAAACAAGGCCGCAGAAACGAAGTCATCCAAATCGTCTCTAAAATGTAAGCAAGAAAAACAAGAGCAACAAAAGCAAAGGGAGGAAAAAACCAACCAGGATACCAAAGAAAAGAGAGCAAGTAAACAAAAAAATAAAAAACACATACCAAATCAAAATTCAAAGCAGAGAAGCAGGTCACAAATACGAAGCGAGACGTCCAACAGCGACTTGGATATGGAGAAAGCTTATATGCCAGAATATGTGCTGGGTAAGACACAGCGAACTGGCGCAGTCATAGCACGAGCACGTAAGGTGAGGTACAGTCTCTTACCGAGCCTTAAGGCACAGAAAAAATACCACAAACATCTTAACAAAGGATGTAGGCATGAGGTTGCCTTTCATACTTAACGGGCACTACTATATTTGACATGTGACTATAAAGGTCCGGTCTAGGAGCGGACACGTTTGAGATGTAGTTGCAACGTTAGTTTGGCCTAGTACCACATTTGGAGAAGGATAAGGCTCATATGTATTTTTCTGAATATTTTTGTCTGTAAAATTTTTGTACGAACAGGTCTATTCTTCATGAACAATCTTCATTTTTTATTAGTGTAACAAAAAAATATATAAAAATGATAAAAATCAAAAAATTTTTAAATTGAAATGAAGTCATAAGGTATGTATCCTTCATGACGTATGTAGATAGGATGTAAATATAGGTCACTTACCAACGATGGTTCCTGAGATTGTTTCGAACAAGGAATGTGCAAAAACGCTGACAAGAGGACGCAAAATACCTTCTGGACCGAATCAACGCCTGCGATATCTTGCTGAACGGAACGAACTTGACCCACTTTTGAAGCGGATGGTGACTGGTGACGAAAAATGGATCACCTACGGCAATATCAAGCGAAAACGAAAGTCCCAAACAGTGCCCAAGCCGGGATTGCCGGCCAGGTGCTGTGCGTTTGGTGGCATTGGAAGGAAATCATCCACTATGAGCTGCTCCCATATGGCCAGACGCTTAATTCTATCATCTACTTAGAACAACTGGACCACTTGAAGCAGGCGATCCACCAGAAGTGTCCAGAATTGACCAACAGAAAGGGTATAGGGTTCCACCAGGACAACGCCAGACCACACACTTCGTTGATGACTCGTCAGAAGCTACGTAAGCTCGGATGGTAGGTTTTATCGCATCCACCATATAGCCCGGACATAGTGCCAAGTAATTACCACCTGTTCCCGTCCATGGCGAACGCCTTGTTGGTGCAAAGTTGAACTCAAAAAGGCTTGTGAGAAGTGGTTGTCCGAGTTCTTCGCAAATAAGGAGAGGGGCTTCTACGAGGGGGGTATTATGACGGTGCATATTTCAACTAAATCCTATCACTGCAACACTCATGGATATTTATGTTATTTAATCAGTAGATCTTTCTTGTGGACGTCGGGATTAAAAGCTTTTTTCTGCGGTTCTTCGGACTTGGTGGTGATTTCTAGTTCCACATATGTATATCTAACGTGCTATTTACGACCTCTGTTCGAGTAGTCAAGATCGATGGCTGCAACCCAGTAATAATATCAAATCGCGTCTTCGAGGTAGGCAAATGACATCGATGGGACTTATACAAGATTTTACAAGATGGAATTTCTATATGTTTATCAGATTTTTACACAAAATCATACACTTTTCCCCTCTTCGACTCCCACTTACATGCAACGTTATGTAGGGAATTTTACAAAAGATATTCAATCAAACCTTTCGACACTTGTTTTCATTTCAACAATTTATCTCTCATTGATTTTTATATTCAAAATTTTTTGTTGTTTCTGTAAACAATTTCGAAATTTTTACGTTTGGAAAATTACAAACAAAACAACGTAAAGGATTACGTTACCCAAAATTAGCGCGATCAGCATGCGCAAGTAATTGAAAAAAAATATATATATAAATAAAAACACAACAAAAATTTAACTGATTTGTGGAAAACCTGCGGTCACGCATTCTCCAATACAGTTACATATTTGTGTGATCGTGTAAAAAGGAATACCTATATCGTATATACATAATGCCTTCAGCTAAACCACGCGGCGCGATGCCTAAATCAAGTCTTAAACGAGATGAAGCACGGGGCAAGCGGAAGGGGAAGGAGGTGCGCGAACTCTGGTTCAATCCGCACGCCAAGCAAATGGGCGAATCGTTGACGGACATATACGGCTGTGACTGCGATTGTGATGTGATGCTAGATGAAGATGTGCAACAGGAATTACGTAGATTATCGAAAGTTTACTCAAGGACGGTAGTAGAAGACGAGGATGAGGAAGACAAATCAAAAGGATTTCTGTGCTTCAAAAAATCGTCGCAACGATCGAGAAGTAAGCAAAGAGTGGATAAAGAGAAAAGAAGAAGAAACTCGAAAGAAAGGGAAGACACGGAAAAGACGAAAAGAAGAAAATCCAAAGAAAGAGTAGGAAGGGAGAGATCAAAAGGGAGAAAATCTAAAGAAAGGGAGTCTCCGAGAAGAGAGCATGAAAGGAAGAGCCGCAGTCGACCGAATTCGTCTTTGCATGGAAGATTCAAAACACAAGAAGAGGTTAGACGTTACAGAGAGCTCAAATCAATCTATACCACCAGACCCAGACAGCGACCAACAGCCAACAAGCCGACAACAGCTACAACATGCTTCAAGAAGAAGAAAGACAAGAAGAGAGAACATGATGCAGATCTTGATTATCTTGAAAGCTCAAGTGATGACTCAGTCTACAGCGCCACGCATAAACAGCATAAGTCGCGCCAGTCTGATGCCGGGAGCCCATCAAAGTCAAGAGCGAGGACTAGTAAAGGTGACGCTTCCTCGCGGCAGCGTCGCTCACAATCCCAGCGTGAGAGCGATAAAAAACAAAAGAATAAGGACAAAAAATCAGAGGTAGGATGTTGTGGCACACGAAAGAAAAAAACTAAGGCTGATAAGCAGGAGGAGGAATTCGAGGCGTATAAATTGGCGCAGAGCGCACCCAAGAAAAGTAAAAAGCCAACAGAGCTGCTGGAATGTCCACTGACGCCCGAAGAAATCGAGCTACTGGAAAAGTTGAAGCAAACATACGCAAGAGAGAAACCGAAAGTGGTGCGCAAAGCGCCGCCACCACCTCTACCAGAGGAGCCGGGTTGCTGCGGTTCGAAGTCTAAAAAAAAAAAACCTCGGTCCGAGGATGAACCATTCACACCCAGAAAGATCAAGTCAGCAGAAATCAATGTAAAACGTAGAAAGCAACCTAAAATTGGTAAGAGTAAATCAGATAGCTCGTTCTATACTTCTGACAGAAAGGAAAAACGTACCAAACCGATAAAACGCAAAAACTGCTCCTGCCTTGGCTATTTAAGACGAAGATGTCAGAAAGATAAACAAATTAAGAAACCGAAAATACAAAATGTGAAACGTCCAGCGGTAACTTTCGAGCCACATCCTAAATCGGAGAAGCCAAAGAAGACCGTTAGCCAACAAAAAGTGCAAGAGCAAACACCTGATATTAGGAAATCAGCCTTTATGTCATGCTGTTCCTTGTCTAAAAAGGAGAGGCCGAAGAAAGAAACACCGCCAAAAGTCAAAAGTCCCGAAAGAGTCCGCAAAAAAACATCTTTTGCATCCTGCTGTTCTTTGACCAAGCGAGAGAAATCAAAGAAATTAGACGAAGTTCAAGTGAAGCCACCGAAGTCTAAAGAACGCCAAAAGCTGTCAGAAAAATCGTCCAATATGCCGTGTTGCTCCTTTCTTAAGACGGATAAGTCAAAGGCACAAACTGATCTTCAACAAAAACCATCAAAGACCCAAGACCAGGAACAGCCACAAAAGAAAGAATCAAAGGTGTCATGTTGTTCATTCTCTAAAAGAGAGAAATCTAAGACAAAAGAACATGAAAAGTTACCAAAGAAATCGTCGAATGTATCCTGTTGTTCGTTCCCAAAAACAGAAAAACCAAAGAAACAAACTGACGTTCAACAAAAACCGTCGAGGACCCGAGATGAGGAAAACCCTCAAAAGAAAGAATCTACCGTGTCATGCTGCTCATTCTCTAAAAGAGAGAAATCTAAGAAATTAGACGAAACCGCACAAAAGCCGCCGATGCCAAAAGATCATGACAAGCTACCAAAGAAATCGTCGAATGTATCTAAGAAGGAAGTTGAACCCAAACATGTGAAAATCTCAGAAAAAGTTCAAAAAGAGCCAGCAAGCAAGTCATGCTGTCCGATCTCTACAAAAGATAAGCCCAAGAAATCAGATGATACCCGAAGAAATTTATTTAATATGTGGTGCTGTTCGATCGATAGGAAGAGCAAAATAAGGAAGGAGGACGATTCGAAAAACGTCAAAAACCAGGAAAAGCCTCTAAAGAAATCACCCGAATCAAAGCCACCGAGAACCAAACAAAAGATATCCTGCTGCCCAGCGTTTAAAAAGGATATACAAAAGAAATCGGAATATACTCAACAAAAGCCCCCGAAAAATAAATCATCTGAAGCATCCTGCTGCTCAATTTATAGAAAAGATAAGCAAGGAAAAACAGATGATATTCAACCGAAGTCCCCGAGAAAAAAAGTAAAGGAAAAAATTAAAAGAAAAGCATCAGAAACATCCTGCTGTTCAGTCTTCCAAAAGGATAGTCAAAAGAAATCAGACGATATTCCACAGAAACCACTGAGAACCAAAGTACAGACAAAAGTTAAAAAGAAATCGTCTGAAGTATCCTGCTACCCAATCTTCGAAAAGGATAAGCCAAAAAAAGTAGATGTTTTTAAGCAAAAGCCTGCGAAAGTCAAAAGCACAGAAATGATACAAAAGAAGCCATCTAAAACTTCTGTTTTTTCTTGCTGTTCATTTGATAAAAAGAGTAAGCCAAAAACGTTGGAATCCAAAACTAGGAAGAGAGCCCAAAATCCGTTCGAAACATTCTGTGCATTTTGCAAAACTAGAAGTACTAAACCACTTGCCCCAATTGAATCTAAAAGTCCTCCACGACAAGACCAGATCAAGCCGAAAGTTAGTAGACCTAGAACTAAAACAAAATCGGAAACGTCATTTCAAACCTGCTGGGATTGGTGTGACGGTGATATAGACGATATTCCTGTTAGAGAAGAAACGAGGAACGCGCCGATTCCAAGCGAAACTAAGCACATAGCACCGAAGAGCAAGTCGTCAGGCACATCCTTTTGGACTTGCTGTTCAAGCACGTGTGTGGCAAAAAAAGCCAAACGGCAGCGAAAGTCACAACGCGGCAATAACATGAAAAAACAAAAAGTAGTAGAGGAAGGAACGCTCAAACCGAAGCCTGAAAATATTTCTTACTGCAATGCGCTCTATGAAGAATTTGAAAATCTAGTCAGGCAACAAAAGCGATGTCCAATACTGCTATCGCAAACCGAATTCGGTAAGAAATCCAAAGGCCTCACTTACTGTCAAAAAAACCGTTCGAGTTTCGCGATAAAAAAGAACAGGCGTAGTTTAAAAACCAAACCCAAAAAGAAGCAAGAATTTCAAAAGGAAACTAAAGAAACTGAAAAACCAAAAGCCGAGGAAGATAAAGATAGTCTAAGGAAATTGCAAAAAGTGCCCAGCGCTACGTATAAGACGCCTAAACGTAAAGTCAAATTGAAAATGAAAAGTGAGAACTCCACAAGTGATTCGGGTATTGAGAACACGTATGTGCCTGAATATGTGCTGGGGAAACCAGTACAGGTAGGCGTGTCCTTGGCGCATGCCAGGCATATGACCTACAGCCTCATACTAAACAGAGATACGCGCAGGAAGTCCGACAAGAATTTCCACAAGGGATATGCTAACGGTATTGGTTGTCAAACATAAGACCAAGCAACTACATTTTATATGTGACCGCAGTGACTGCCAATGCAAATATGTATGTGGGTGGTCTCATGTAAGACGTAGTCTTTGTGTTAAATTTGTCAACTGGAATATGTGCAAAGGATCCAAGAAATAGACTTAGCTCTCCGGAGCGAAAAAGTTAAAGTATATTTTGATAATTATTTTTCTAATACTTTACAGATTTCATAGTTTCTGCTAACGCAAACCTTTTTGTTTAAGAAATAAAATCATCTTTATATTAAATTAAATATACCCTTTTTCCATTCCCATTACTTTCATTTTGCAAAGTTTTGACGCATTGTACACAACTCTCCAAGAAGCGAACAGTCTTTAGTCAATTGCGAGTCAATTTCGATAGTTGGGATTAGAAGAAAAGCGCTAGGTGAGATGAGCTACAAGCTTACCACTCCGCTCCAGCTTAAATTCCAGCAGTTCTGGGGATCTCAACGAACAAGCGCCTCCAGCAGTCCAAGTGGTATTATACGTGGTTTCACAAATAACATCTTATTTACCTAAACTAACCAGAATGCTGGATTTATTTCGAAGGATCTGGGATGTAAGCCTAATTCGAGAGCCCCACCGAAGGGTTAAAAGTTTTCAAAATGTATAAACAAGGTGTCATTTTGTTGTAAACCGAAAATCAGAAAAGAAAATTCACCGCATACAAACAAATATTCAAACGCAAAATTACAAATGTGCATAAATGGAAAAAAAATCCTCCTTTGAGTCACGCAACAAACGACAACTGCAATCTGATGTGGAGAGCAAGAGAAAGCGGCACAAGGGCGGCAGCAATAGGCAAAAACTCGATGGAGATATTCGAATGGAAACCATCATTTATAAATTGGATAGTCGAAATAAAATTGTTTTACCAAGAGCCGATGAAACAAATACAGACAATGAATTTCTACAATATGTTAAAACTCGTATTGAAGAAAAAAGTTTGCCGGTGGAGCCGGTCGCCAATGGAAGGAGAAACAGTAAGGATAAAACGAAGAAGCACGAACGCACACGAAAACCAAGGCGTTATAGTTACGACAGTGGCACATCCATTGACGAATATACAGCGAAACATGCACGGAATAGCATCAGCGGCGGGCATAGGGGATCAAGAAATGGACAATACAAGCATGCCGGCGACTATAATGGCAGTGAAGAAAGAATGTCGCATAATTATGATAAACGCCCCTCGAATGGTTATGATGAAAATGTAGGCTCTTGCGGCTGCAGACGCCGGAACAACAGTGTTGCCGATCGTGACGAAGAAAAAATGTCGTATAATTATGATAGACGTCCCTCGAACGGTTACGATAGGACTGTAGACTTTTGCAGCTGCACACGCGGCAAGAACAGTGTTGCCGTACCGAAGGCAATGGCATACGCGCGCGAACAAAACGCGGCGCCTGTGAACGACCAATATTTTTGCGAGCTGAGTGAAGAGCAAATGATGCAGTGTTTCCAGCTGGTGTTCAAAAAACTATGCACACTACAAAATGCTAATGGCACGAGACTGGAAATTGATGTTGCTGCGCCAAGCAAGGCCGACAGTCCAGAAGCAACGTCAACAACTCGACCCCAACGATACACGCCACCACCGCAAGCACTGCCGCATCCACAGCCAACACCACAGCCAGCACCACCACCACCAGAGAGACTGCACGGTAACGGCATGGTACAAAAACCTTACTTCTATCCAAGTAATACCAAACGTGATTTTACAGAGCCAGTTGAAACCCGCGTTTTAGGCAAGCAGTTTGATGTCAACAACGGCCAGTTCGCTAATGTAACTGACAATCAGAATCAAGCAGAAAACTCTTCAAGGCAATCACATGGTGGTGCAGAGCCGATCAATGAAGCTCCAGAACAAAATCAGCAACACGCTCATCAATTAACTACTCCAATGGAACAGCATTATGAACAACAACAGCAGCAACAGCAATACGAACAAGAGCCTTCTAAGCCATTGGAAGCTGTTGAGAGGCATAGCAGTCTTACATTTATGGAGAGGTATCCCACAGAATTCGATCCAGATAGCATGCATTTCACACACCGGATAAGAAGTTCGACTCAGTCTGGTGTTGCCGGCCGGGAGAGCTTAGGGGGAAATTATGTACATAGCGGACTCAGCCAGGCGGTTAACGGGGCGAACACAAACTATCCCATCTATCCGTATGGTTATAAAAATGGTCTACAAAAATTATCGGCCACCAGTGTTAGAATCATACCGAACGTCACGGTTGTGGATTGTAACGACAATTTTTGTTCGATCCCATTACGCTCACCGAATAACAATGAAAGCTACGAGTATATTCTGATGCGAGTCAAAAAGAACAGAACGGTGCAGTGCAATTGTAAGAGATGAACGTGTGCCCACGATATCAAAGGTATTACTTCCAAAGTAGTGCTAAAGTCAAAGTTAACAGTTATAAACCAGATCTAACATCGAAATAGGCAAATATATGCTAACTAAATTACCATAATTAGCAGAACCCGTTTTAAAATAATACCCACAGCTGTAACCAGAGTTCGTAATCCCTAAATAATAAGATCTAAACAAGCACAAAGTAATTGCAAAGAAATGGACAAAACACCATACGAAAGTCAGAGTAATATAGAGTACTAAAGCCGACGAGAGTAGTATTATAAATGATCGACCCGAAAAAAGCCGAAAACTAAATCTTTCTATCCGCACTATTCTATGCTATTCAAAACCCCAAGTAAACGGTCTGAAAGCAAGTAGTACTAAATCAAAAGAAGTTACTTTTGAATGGAAATAAATATATTTCTTAAATATTTTTTCGATGGCAATCGCTCGTAACGATTCAAAGAATTTGGGCATGAAAATATCGGCAGTTAATTTGAAAATATAATAGATGAAAATTTCAATTTATCAAACGTAAAATTATAAATGTGAACAATGTCTCATCGGCTCTTGACGGTTGAGAAAAACGGGCATATACCTCAGGCTCGGACCACAAACGCTTGCGTTGAAAGCGAAATAACACGTCAAAAAGGCGGCGGAAGGAGACATTACGAAGGTGAAAATTATGGGGGTCAATATGAACGCGGTTATTCTACTTGCCGTAACTCGAGGTACGCAAATAACAGTGATAGTAGCGATGGGGAGACGGAGAGTGACTCCGAAGTTACTGTAACGACAAGCAGCAGTAAAGGTAGGCAGAGAAAATGTAATAATCGCCGTAGGATCCGAACACATTATGACTCGGTCTACAAAGCCGATGACGAATGCAACTACAAGAGGAGAAGGAATGCGGTAGACACCCAAAATTATATGCGTGTTTCAAGGGAGCATCCACCAGCGGCTTCTAACCCTCAGCGGCCACGACCAACAGCAGACGGAACAAGTGAAAATTATTTAGAACAGACTGCTAACCAGCCAGCAATTAAAAATACGGCTCCTAACGCCGCAACTATTAAGGAAAACCCTCGCGCCACGAAGGCAATGTTGAGATTTATGGATAAATTATTTCGCACTTTGGGTGATGTGACGGATGGAACGGCAACAAATAGGATTGCCCCACCACGGGAGGCATATGCGCCAAAGGTGCCAGCAATAATAGGAAATACGAGTATCACAAATCAAGACGGGCGTAACGTTAGGGATATACCACCGAACACGCCCCATTATGAACAGAATTATGCGCACTTTGGGATGCAATTGCCGCAGCAAATAGTCTATCAAACGCATATAACGCATTTACCCACTCAAAACACGCGTTATCCAAGTTTTAACAAGAATTGCATGTGCGCACAAAATACGGAGGCTGAAAAGACATCTGGTAAATGTATGCAACAAGGAGAATATAGTCAAATACCATTTCCACAATATGCATGCATGCCTTACGCACAACCTTCTCCAATGCCGCTACGTTCAGGCTTGGCGCAAGAGTATATGCCTGGAGCAAGCAGACAACCCGTAGCATGCACCCCACCATCAACAGGCGCAGCCTCGATACGAACTCTACCGCCAGACATATATAAATCCCATGTCGAGGAATATGTGCTCTCACGCACACCACAAGGGCCGGCGTTACAAAAGACAGTGCCTACTGTAGAATCTCTGGAACAGTCGAATATGCGTGCAGGAACACCAACGCAGTTTAGTCAACAATTCTCTGAAACACAACAACCTACGCAGCCAATTTCAGCCGAAGGAAGAAAGCTAAATACCGAATTCAGTTTGCTCAGAAACTCAAGTGAGCAAAGCCACCAGACCAGGCAGCCAGCAAGTGCGTTAAACCAATATGTAACGGTCAGTGATGGAATCAATATTAGCGGAACTGCCCAAAACATCAATGAGCTTCAATATTTAGAGACACAACTGACATCCAATCAATATCTGACTTCGGACGGTCAAATAGCAGATGCCACTCTAAGTCGAACCCAAAAAGCAGAAAATGTGTATAGCCTTGGTAACGAGTCCCTTCAACCAACAAATCTTCCAAGCCAAAAGTTGGATTCATCCATAAACAATCCTACTATGGATACCTATTATAAAGGTTTGAGGCAATTTGCAGGAGTAGAAAATTCGGTCGAAGGTCCTGAGAATTACAACGTTATCAATAACGATGGGTTGAAGGAGAGCAATGGAAAAAGCAGCGATCTCATAGACGTTAAAATTAAAGCGAACGAAATTCGAATAATTGAACAAGAAGAAGTGAAGCATATCAATAGCCAAACTCTGGTAGACGAAGCAAATCACGGAAATCAAAAAGGCGAGCAAATTAAAGAAGGCGGAAGTAGAAAGTCAGAGAAAGCGAGTCGCAAGAGCAGGAAAGGCGAGCCAATGAGAACTAACCGCGAAGGAAAAAGTGGGGAAGTTGCAGCCAACAAAAAGTCTAAACCAAATAGAGAAAGCAAGTACAGCAGCAAAAACGAGAATACACCCGAAATGAATGAGGAATTCAGTACAGATAAAGAAATGCAGAGACAAACTTCAAGTGGTAGCTGTTACAGCGATTATTTACGTGAATGCTTACGCAGAAAACGCGATAAGAATAAAAACCAAAGAAAAAACCAACGTCACGGCGATTCTTTTAGCGACAGCGATGATGAAACCTCTAACGATTACTCGGAATACAGTAGTTACAACGAAAGAAACAAGCGCCGCAAGCGTCACGGAAAATATGAGCCCACGGATAGTGGGAGTGGCGACGATATGCAATATAGTCTAAGTCGCACCTCATGCAAAGAACTTAAAAAGTGTTGCAGTCGCATTGTGGCAATTTGTCGAATGGCTAGAGACACAGCTGGCACACAGACGGAACAATGGGAGGACAGCGCGTCACTGCCGTTACAGAGGTCAAATAAATTGGTTGATGGCTTACCAAAAAGCTTAGCAGATGGATTGGCAGTGGCGAATCCAAGTGTCGTGAAACAAATTATGCAGCTCAATCGGGATAGAAGAAAGTGTAGAGTTTGCGCCTGTGGTCTGTTGGACGAAAATGGCGCGCCAGTAGTGAACGACGACATGTATATATTAAAATTTGAGGACAATGAGCCCAAGTTAACCTCGCGAATGTGCCTGGAACATAAGTCACGCTGCAAATGCAATTGCGGCTGCAAGTTATCGGATACAGAATCGGAAATCATAAGAGAGATAATAAGGAAAAAGCGTTTGCAAGAGAAATCAAAGCGCATAAATGCGCTAAGGGTGAACAAGTATGACTCATGTGATTGTCATTCGGCTTGCGACTTCGTGGATGAAGAAGATGAACGAGAGTTTATCGCGAACTTGCTGAGAAAGCAGCGCAGAAACCGTGATCGCGAAAGAGACAGAACACAAGCACAAAATATGTATGAAAATTGCGTATGCGACTGCGCTTCGAAAGCTAAGGAGCTCGCCACAGAGATTATGCATGAAATGGTTAAAAGTCACATACAAAAAATTGTTGCAGACGAATTGCAGAATAAAACAAATTCACATGAAAATCGGAAAAGAGTTTGCACTTGTAACTTTGCTGAAAGACCAACAGCCAGACCTAAAACAGAAGAAATCAAACAACTAGCCGGTGTATGCAGTTGTGGTGCAGGCAAATGTTCAACATGGACACCTAAATGCAGCAAAACAGGACCACAAACATTTGAATGTACTTGTGAACCAGACGATATCCCAACAGTCCAGTCTGAAACAGAGGGAGTCCAACCACAAGCTGGTGTATGTACTTGTGATTATAACGAAAACCCAACAGTCAGGTCCAAAGTTGAAAGAACTAAGCCACAACCTGGAGCATGTACCTGTGACTGTAATGAAAACCCAACAGTCATGCTTAAAGGTGAGAGAATGAACCCACAATCAGGTGTATGTAGTTGCGATGTCGACGAAATTGCAGGCAAAAGCTCAACATGGACACCTAAATGCAGGAAAACAGGACCACAAAAATTTGAATGTACTTGTGAACCAGACGAAATCCCAACAGTCAGACCAAAAACAGGGAAAGTTCAACCACAAGCCGGTGTATGTACTTGCGATTCTGACGAAGCCCGAACAGTCAGGCATAAAAGTGGGAGATCTAAAGCACAGATGTTCGAATGTACTTGCGAAACAGACGACAGTTCAGCATCAGCACCTAAAAGTGAGAGAGTTGCTCCACGAACTGGTGTATGCACTTGCGAATCAAACGAAATCGCAATATCGGTACCTAAAAGTGAGAGAACGAAGCTAAGAAATTTTGAATGCATTTGCGATCCAATTGAAAGCAGAACAGTGACACAAACATTCACAAGAACCATAGAACTGCAAAGTGGAGGCCCCACCAACAACGAAATGTCTAGCTCGAAGCGTTACAGCAACGGCAACCCAGAGCCGGCAAAAAAGAAGAGAAAATCGATTAAGAAACAAAGCAGAAACAGCAGGGGCAGTAAATCAGCTGAAGATAGCGAAAACGAATATATTACATTAATGCAAAATAGTATGGCAACGGAACGTAAAGGTGGTGAGAGCTCGAAGGATGCAATAAGTAAAAACGAGCAAGGGAGCAGAAGAAATTCGCTGGAAGCTCAACAGGACAGTAACAGCGACAAAACTACTGCAGATCCACAAATAAACAACAGCAGCAGCTCTGGACAGCGTTTAAGCATACACATAAGTAAGGACAAAACAAACCAGAAGGAAATCATTAAAAAAAATGAGGAGGATTATGTGCCCGCCAGCTACTATGAAGATAGGATAGAGGCACGGAGAAAAATTACGGTTAAGTCATATCAAGCAGGACCACCTAAGCCAATAAAGGATGAACTCAAAAGGTGTAGAGATCATTGCGCTTGTAGAGAGAGAGTCGCACAACCAATAGCTTTTAGAACTAAAGAAGAGAAAGACATAGAGGAGTACGCTCTAAGTAATGCCAGAAATATGGCGCAAACAATGGTGCCTAAGTCTAATAAAAGCTATGAAGATAACTCCCTCAAAGCCGACAGCGGCCACGGATCAGTAAAAAAAATCATTGCAGACACAAAAGCAAGTAAGAAAGCACATGCGATTGGTACTGTAACAGGCTATCCGCAGTCTAATAAAAATGCCGAACGCAAAACGCAGGGCAGTTTAGACAGAGAAGCACAAGGCTCTGATTCGGAAATGCATTTGGAACAAAGAGCGGCACTTTGCACCGAACTGACCATGAACGAGCTACTGCCACAGCACTCGCTGCGAACACTGCTGACCAAACTCTCCAGCCCGGATGGCAAACTCTACGCTGCAGATGAATTCACTGCGCAGCCCGAAGAAATCTTGCGTTTAGCTAAGATTAATCAAAGTAAAATGTTAACGATGCCAAGCACCGGGAAGCGTAAACTCAGTCCTACCACAGTAATGGCACAATCTTTGCATATGACGGGTAAACAATCGAAGTCTGAAATAAAATCAGCAGTGGAACCGTTACGACTCGTTATTGGAAACCGACAACTGAAGTCGATAAGCAGCACACCGTCTTTGTCCGAGAGTTGTGGTCTCAGTGCGGTTGAAAGCACACTTCAACAACACAACAAAGCGCGTGTCGCAAATCGACTACACGGATTAAAGAATAAATTTGTTAGGAAATCCCGTATACCTTTACCCGTGAACAGTAGCACTTACCGAGCTGAGAAACAGAACAAAACACTATCGAAGAGCTCGAGCGCGGAGAAGCGCGCAAATCAACGGCCGCTTATAGAGCAAAAGAGCGATTCGAATCATCAGATCACACGAATCTGGCCTGAGCAAGCCGCCATAGCAGCACAACACTTAAGACAGGAGAAGACAGCCAGCGACTCTAACGAACTGGGAGCCAAACAACTGAAAAAGTCGCAATCCAACATAGAGCTAAGTTGCGCTTTGAATTACAGTCCGACACGTCCGCGTTTGGAAAGCGGCAAGCAAGAGGAATTACCGAAACATTCAAGTCAAGAGTCACAGTTGTCGGCGGTATCACAGCGAAAGGTGGAAAATACTAAAGAAAGTTTCGGCAGCTCAAACCCTGAGAATATGCAGTTAAAAATGTTGAATATCCTTTCAGCAGCAAATCAAAGTGCTACAAGCTCGAGCGGACTCTCCAGTGAGTCCTGCAAAACGGACGGCTTGCAGACACAAAACGAGCAGCGCTGCGCACGTTGTAGAGCTTTTTATAAGAAAACAGGTGCACATCAAAATATCAAAGAACAACAAGCGAACGCAAACGAGCGTCTCAATTATGAGCCGCAACCACGTCTCAGTGAGACATTTATTCCAGCGACGATCCACGCCACACCTAAGCAATGCCGCGCAGAACGCTTCAGCTTAACAGATGATCAGCAGACCGATTCGGACATAGAATGTATTACAGTGGAGTATGGTGGCAGTGAGGGGGACAACTACACACAATACCAGGACGAGTTGCTAAGAAAGCAGCAATTATGGCGCAAGGGCACGGTTAGGGAGGCGCTTGAAGTTGAGGAGAAAGCTGAGCGCACTAAAAATCTGCAGCGTACCACGCTAACCGGCGAATGTTTAGAACGCGCCATACACTATCCGACACGCGTGTGGAACGAGGAGCGCAAGCAGCTGAATTTACAGCGTAATGGCGCTGGCATCTTTTGGCCGCTATAACCTGTATTATTTCAGTTTTTACACGATAAAAATCTTGCCGGGGGTCAGTAATGCTAGAATTTGCCTTTTTCTACATATGCTGGAAGCTTGTTATTGTTATGTGTGAAATGTGCAACAAGACAGATTTTGCCAAACCGTGACAAATCGGGATTTAGACGCTTCAACGGAGCCTTTACAGATTCACATAACAGTAAGAGCTACAAGCATATCAAACAGTTGACATATTTGTAATTATGCGTTTGAAAATATGCAATAAAATTGATAGTCGTATGAGCTTTCTCTCTCCCACCCATCTGACTCACACGTATGAGAGACCAGTCTCAACCAAGCTAAACGCCAAAGACATGCCTCAAAGTTCACGTGACTAACCCAGAAGGCTACTCGTTACTCCATCGATTCACGTGAAATCCTTGAATCTATTGTCGACTCGTTGCTCTATCGTTGCATAAGGAATTCTTGAAGTGGGATCTATTGTCGACTAGAAATATTCATCCACAATATCGTAAACAATCTGATATAACTAGATGACTGGACAAAGAAAATTAGCTTAGATAAGCAAACGATCGGGTCCCAAACGAAGATCAGCCGTCTCTCACGTAATCCAATAAAACAATCCATAACAGGAAACGTGTCCAATGTTTCCAAAAAATTGTACTTTCTGAACGCCCTGTGTAAACCTCTATAACGACAAACGATCTCTGGCTGCACCTACAATTTTTTGTTTGGAGACGACATTTGATGCTCGTCTCACTTAAACAAGAAGTTTTTCATAAAAAATACTCGTCGAAATTTAACATAAAAAACTTTGTAAAAGTATAAAAAAGCGCAATTGCAATTGTAAGTTTTTGCTAAAACTGCGCCACAGACAGAGCTGTGGTATCTGTGCGGTATGAAAAGTTACCAAAGCTCCAACTGTCATACACAATTTTCGTTAATTTCTTCCATTTGTTTTTTGGCTACAGAAAAGAAGCACTGAAAGTCACATTTTGGGCCTTAACTTTCCAAAAATGGAGTATTTGCCAATTTTCAGCGGCGGTTTACCCAAGCGAGCTAATAGCAGCAGGAAACTGGCCGCCAATTCTACGCTGCAGAATAGGGGAATGCTTTGGCGCAATAAAAATAAGCTGCAAAGGACTTTGTCCGTCGTCGAAATGGAGTACTACCGTAACGCCAATAGCGCTATATATTTGCCGCGCAATTTAAGCTCTGCTGATATGTTCAAACAAGAACCCAGCACGAAGATCTTACCGGATTTCATGTTACCGAATTCAAGTCTAACGAAGAAGAAACCCCAACGCCGCCGAAAGCGAAGATTTTTCGTCTAAGAAATATCTATTTGAAGGGCAGGGAAAGGCGTCCGCATAGAAAGCGGTCAATTTGGCAATACAATTTGTAAAATATTTCTGTACACTATTTGAAATTAGCACAAAATTTGCATGACCGGCTAGCACAACCGCTTTCGAAAACATGCGCAGTTGAGAAAACTGTGTTTTAGCCAAAAAATAAATAAATTGAAGAATTTTTAAATTAATCCTTTTATTTTCGATTGTATTTAAAGTTCCGCAGTCAAAGGTAAGACTGATGATTCAAAAACAACACCTCGGGATCATCTACAGCTAGTAGCGTAGAGAGCTAGCTTCGCTTTCATCAATCAAAGAACACTTGCGGCCAAATGAGAGAGAAAGGAGGGTAAATTGAAACTTACAAAAAAGGTTGAAGTCTCTCAAAGCTATATGGTTGCTTCTATTCACTATAGAACTAACAACGTTCCTACTATAGTGGTCGAGTATAAGTTTTACAGACACCGGGTTGATCAGGGGTCATAAGGAATATTTTTCAACGGACCTACTATAGTGCCAGAGAGTAAGTTTGACAACCACAGGGATGATCAATGACTCGAGAGAAATCACATCAAAGAAATACTATTGGTTATAAATAAGAAATGGTGTTTCTTTAGGAGGATCTCATATAATCAAGTATCTCATAATCTGATCTCCTTTCTATCCTTAGAGAATCTTTTGTACTTAATTACTGTACGATATGAAATTGTGTAGTGCAGGTCTTGTAAATGAATTTTAAGAACATCTGTAATTTTTCTTTCGACTCAGTCGGTTTCGTCGCTCAAAAGCTGTTTTCTTCTATTTTCCGGCAGACAATTTACAAAATTAGACAACAATAAAAAATATAAATAAAAAAATGCCAAAATTTCCAATTTACGGGCCCATACTATTTGATAAAGGTGAAATTTGTCCGCACAATAAAATCGCAAAGACCATTCAGCGAGTATATCACCGCGACCCGCCCATTAGACTCAAAGATGTGTGTCAAATGCGTAAACTCGGCGACCAAAGGTTTCATCACGAAAGTGAGTGCAACAACAGCAATTATTTGTGGCATGTGACGCTCAACACCGGCAATAATCCATATGTGAGCGCCAAGCCGAAGCATGAGACGAATATCAATAGGGCTGGCGCCTGGAACTTCCACAACGTGGTATTCGAGAAGATGCGCAATGGATTCCGACGCTGTCGCGCTCAAACGTCGACGCAAAACCCATATGATACCAGAGCTGTGGAATGGATAATGAAACCACGTGAACTGTCGCACGACTCCTCACAGGAAGGTTATATGTGGACGCACCCTGGTAGGAAAAAACGTCCGCGCTACTCACAGTCCACACCGCCAGTGTCAAGTAATTGTAAAAAACGTAGCCTGTATATTGGGTCAGGGGGGTGCCGAGACAAGTACTCGCTCTCCGCACATTTCGAAGAAGCGCTCGCCAAGAGCAAAAAGAATTTGGAAAACGAAAAACGACGCACGGTTAGTGAGCGCGTGGAAGGTGGCGCAGAACAACTCAATACGCAAGTATTGCGCAAATCAGTAATCGTTAAGAAGAAGCTTGCCGACACTTTGAAGAAAGGAGTAAATACACAACAATCCGTTCTGGAGACGAAGGTAGCGCTGAAGAAGAAGAAGCATGATCTGAAAGCCACAAATTACACTGGTAATGGGCAGGAAGCTGACAGAGCTCTACAGCATCAATCACTGAAAGAGGTGTATCTGGCACCAATCTCACCTTCAGTGTGTAAAGCGCCAAAGCTGGAGCTTTCAACAGCCACTTCCCAGACCGACCGGTTACGAAAGACCCACTTCCGAAATTTCACGCGAAAACTAAGTGACATATCCATTTGGTGCCCGCGCAGGAGCAGCTTCAAATGTTTCCAAAGGTTAAAACAAAGCGCAGAGTTTGGTAAAGAGCTTTGCGCACAAAAAGCAGATACGAGTATAGCTATACTGCGACGCCTCACGCAAGCCTTTAAAACCGCAACAAAAACTAAACCCATTAGCAAAATAGCTGAGCGGCTTAGTATGCTGAGTCTGCCTAAGGCGGTGCATAAAGAATCCAAAAGAAGTGTAGAGCGAGTAAGCAAAGTGACGCGTGTTGGCGTTGGTAAGAAAAAATCCTTCCGTCATTACCGCACATTTCGTCGTCGTATCAAGCATAGCACGCATGTAAGGGATAAGCCGACGAAGCCCCAGCAGCGTAAGGACAAAGCAGTGCAGTGTATAAATACCAAGTCCAGTAACAGTACGCTAGGTTCGAGGAGCGGATCGAGTGTGCTGCTGTCCGAGTCCAACAAAGAATTAAACGCATGGCTGGGAGATCACGAACCGAAATTAGGGATTGCAAACGAGAGTAGATTAGTACAAAAATCGGATATGATCACGCCAAAAGAAACCGAGAAATCGGATTCAAATAATCCATGCAGTGACTACACAATATCCTTCCACACGCCCATCACGTTGCGTCAGCTAATACAGCGAAACAAGCGGGTAAAACGTTCGAAAGACTCACAGAAATCGAAACATGTCGAGGCAAATACCCGTCGGCTGTCAGACCTTAAGCCATTAGCGGGAAGTTCAATGGGAACGTGGCAGCTGAAATAGGATCGAACATGCCGTCGCTTGAAGGACCAAATTGCATATCTGCATACATTTGTGACCCGTATATAGAATTATGTATATTTTACTTCAAGTTTCTTTATAAAATTTTTTGTAAACGATATTGAAGTTCATAATATAAGAGTTGTACTGGTTGTGAGGTTTTTTATGAAATCTTCCGCCGCGACTGTGCGAACGAGCGGCTAGTCAGTTGTCTCCGCGCACTTGGAGAGTCAGGATAACGACGTGCTTCTGTGAGTTGTGCAAGCTTTCATTAGAGCGGGTAGGTACGAGATTAAATTCTGTGTGAAACTCTGTAAATCTGCGACAGAGACATTTGATATAGTCAAGCAGGCTTACGCAGTTGTTGCTTTAACAAGAAGTGGTATGTTTCGGTGGTACCAGCCCTTTTTGAATGGTCGAGAAGAGGTCGTAAAAACAATGCTCATTGTCTTTTTTGACATCAAAGGCATCGTCCGCCATGAATTTGTCCAAGTTTTACATGGAAGACCTCAAGAGACTCAAACGAAGGGTCGGACAAGACATCGCAGCTGATTGCAAGTTGCGCTACGACAACGCCCCAGCTCACCCCACCTTACTTGTGAACAGCTACCTAACAAAGGCCGACATCCCAATGCTTCCGCAGTCGCCCTACAACACAGATGTGGCCCCGGCGACATCTCGAATAAAGTTGAAAACTAACGTACTTCTCACCTTCTTATTTCATTGCGGTTATTACGTCGAATTTATTCGTCATTTAGTAAATTTCTTTACAAATATATTGCACCTAAAGCCGTAAATATGAATTAAACATACCCGTGCCCCTTTTCGCAAATATGCAAATTGATTCAGAGAACACTTGTCACTTGCTTTAAGTAGCAAAAAATGGTAAATACCATATTCTAAGCTTTTGGACTTTAAAGCAATTGCAACGTAAGCAAAAACACATTATTAGAAGTGTAAATATAGACAAAATTGCAAATAAGTAATCGCACAAAAATCTAAAAACATAGCTAATTGACTAAATTTAAAAATACACAGGTATGCTAATTATAGCTTCGTGAAGCGTAAAACTTTAATAAAAACTGACAATTCGGCAGAATTGTTCCGCTACAACAACAACCAGTAGTATTTATAATCAGGGGTATTGTGGAATCTGATAGTTGTCGGAATCAGAATTGAAACCGATCCAAAAAGCAGTAGATGTCATGAATTCAGATATTATTGGTTTGATATTCGAAACAGAATTTGTGTCGGTTTTGGGTGTCACGGAAACCGATTTTATCGGTTTTGCTGTCAGAAACAAATCAAGAGGATAGTCGCACACAGATTTGAAATGTAAGTTTAGAAAGAAAGTTATTTTATTGTTACGAATTAATTTACTTTTATTCTATAGGAGAAAACATAAGAATAAAACAAGAAATGTCTTAATTATTGAGTTTTGAAAAAAAATGGTGTTTAAGGAAGAGCCTGCTTTAGAGACTTAAAAAATCGATTTTGTTGACATTTTTGGGAGGGAAATAAATAACTGATTAAAGCGAAATTTCTAGGGTTTATAGTTATATATTATATTTAATCATCATCCGCACATTTTTTGATACATACGAGCATATGCCAGAGCGGGCAGGATACAGGTCGAGATTTCTATCGGAAACAAAAAATTCAAAGAGATTCATTCATATTATTTAATAACTTATGTTCGAATTAAACTATGAAAAAAGTGTAAAATTTTAAAAAAATTTAAAATTAAAAAAAAACTTATTTGATTCTGAAAAAATTTTACTTTAAATATATGTTCAAATTAAATTTTTTTAGTTTTTTTTTAGTTTAAATAGAAGATAATTTAATGCCAAAGATAATAAACTTTGCCCCAATTAAATATGACGTTCAGTTTTTTTCTACCCTGCCTGCCAATTAAAAAAAAAAAATTAAAAAACGAAACAAATGCGTCTTTATTAATTCAATAAATTTTATCTCTTAAAATCTTTCTTTAAAACTCATTAAAACTTTAATAGGATTGCTTCCAAATGTGTTCATTTGCAAGTTTTGTCACATTAGTAAACAGCTGATTCGAATATTGGTTTGCGTATGTTCGAAAAGACAAAAATCCAATCACATTCTGTGACACCATTAAAAATCAGAATTGGTTTGCATTCTGACAGCTAAACAAGTCTGTCTTGGATTCCACAACACCCCAGAATAGCATTCTTCGTCGCTATCGGACCACTATAGCATATAGCTGTCATACAAACTGAAAGGTCGGAATCAAGTGCTTGTATGGAAAGCTTTTTCATTTGACGAGATATCTTCACCAAATTTGGCATGAGTTATTGCATAAGGTAATAGTGTGATCTCCAAAGAATTTGTTCAGATCGGCTCACTATAACATATAGCTGTCATACAAACTGAACGGTCGCAATCAAGTGCTTGTATGGAAAGCTTTTTCATTTGACGAAAC